TAAATGACTCTGGGTGGTTTACAAAAGAGTTAAAATCAATTAAAATTACAATATACAATAATCTTAATAAATAGAAAATAAATAGATCCAAGAGTAGATATAAAATTGGCAGTCACTCAGAGAGCATCATCAAGGCGCCAGCCATTCCCAGTATTGGGTAAGATTGTTGCCACCCCACGCAAGCTGGCAGAGCCAGGTCTTTAATCCTTTCCGGAAAGCCAGGAGGGTAGGGGCCTGCCACATCTCTGGGGGGAGAATATTCCAAAGGGCGGGGGCAACGGCAGAGAAGGCTCTTCTCCTGGGCCTCACCAGCCAACGTTCTCTTGCCAACAGGGTCCGCACACACCCTCTCTGCCTGTCTCTCAAAACAATGTGCTATGGTTAGTTTTGCCCTATAGAATATTCTGCTTATTTACTCTTACAACCAAATGAATATATTTCAGCCTCTAGAACGTTTACAGCTAATCTGTTTTTTGGGAAGTAGTCAGAGAGAGAAGTCAGGGTTTATGCAATGCACTGAAACTCTGCACCAGGCTGGTGGAAATGTCGCTCAGCCTGTCCTCTCCTGGGGAATTCCAGTAGGCATGACTCCTGCATAGCTCTGCAACTTAAGAACTTGAAACCTGCGCACGTGTTGGCTTTTATGGAGCAGAGATTCTCGGGAAGCCAAGCCAGGGTTCTTCCATCACTGTATACTTTTTCTTGAGCAGCCTCTGCAGAGCTTTGATAAGAGTAGTATTTGTATCAGTGTGATTGATTGATTGATTGATTGATTGATTGATTGGATACTCTGGTTTCTTCTGTATCACCTCTATTTTAGGCATGACCCTCCCAAATCAAAAAGTGATTTTGGATGATTTCAAAACCAATGGGGACAGCAAGCTGCTAATAGCAACTTCAGTTGCTGATGAAGGGATCGATATTCCTCAGTGCAACCTGGTCCTGCTATATGAATATACAGGCAACATCATCAAAATGATACAAGTCCGAGGTAGGTTGGCAAGCTTATTCTGTGAGAACATGAATGTAGATGTTTTAATTATATGGACTGAAGCTCATGCTTGTCCACCCTAATATGAAATACTATCAGATCCATTGTGATTCAGTACACAATATTTTCCTTGTGCCTATTATGCAAATGCAAACTGCCTTTGATATTGGAGGCAGTATGTAATGCTTAGAACCAGTGTTGGACTTCTTTGCGGATTTGTCCAATCTGATTACAGGTAGTCCTCAGTTAACAAGCATAATTGGGACCAGCAACTCCGTCGCTAAGTGACATGGTCGTAAAGCAAAAAAAATCATGACTGCACTGACTTCTGGCAGCAGTTCTGGCAATTCCAGTTGCAGTCATTAAGTGCAATGTCACACGACCACAACTTGTGACTTCCTGCCAGCTTCCCCATTGACTTTGCTTGTCGGAAGCCGGCAGGGAAGGTCACAAATGGTAATTATATAGCCGTGGGATTCTGCGACTGTGGCAAATGCACACCAGTTGCCAAGCACCTGAATCGCGATCACATGACCATGGGGATGCTGCGAGAGCTGCAACTTTGAGGACCGGTTGTGAGTCTCCTCATTCAGTGATTGTTCAGGGCTAGGCATGGGACTGAAATAGCTTTGGTCAATCTGGCTGATAACCTTCATAAGGATCTGGAGTGAGTGAGGGAATGTGCCCCTTTTGATCCTTTTAAATCCTTTCAGCAGTTTTCAGCACCATCAACCACAGCATCTTTCTGTACTTCCTACAAGGGTTGGGAAGGGGGGGGGCTGTTTCAGAGAAGCTCTGCTCTTTCCTGAGTGGATGTGCTGCAGGGTTTGTCTTTCTCTCTCCCCACCTCCCACTTTTCAGTATCTTCATGAAGCTATTGAGAGGTTATCAGTCAGTTCACTGAGGTATTGTCAATATCTTTATAATACTCAGATGTACATCTCCATCCTGGGCAGGGCTAAACTTCCTATAAAAGTCATAAGAGGTTTGATGGGAAGAAACAAATTGAATCACTCTAAGATGGAGGTCCAAAAGCCATATGGTCCCTTTTGTGCTTTGGTTGTAATTCTGGATAGTGTAGCACTGCCCTTGAAGGAGATCTGCAACTTGGGGATCCTCCTAGACCTTATGATCATTGGCAGGTAGGTAGAGGCTATCACTAGAGGAAGTCTCTGTCTGGTAGTGCAGTTGTGGCTTTACTTGGAGGAAGAGGCCTTGGCAACAATTATCCACGCCCTTATTATTTCCAGGATTGACTACTGTAATGCATTGTACATTGGGCTGGCTTTGAAGCCTGTTTGGAAACTACAGGATGAGCTAAATGCAACTGCTTGTTTATTGGTGGGTGAGTGCCACCACAGTCACACAACACTGCTGTTGCATGTGCTGCAGTGGCTTCCAGTAAGCTTCTGAGTATGTTTCGGACCTGTGAAGCCCTTCATGGCTTGATATTCAGGAATCTTACATTTGAAGCTTCAGGTCCTGAAAGAGAACCATTCTGTCTGGTATGCTTGTTCCAGATGTGAGTGTGGGGAGGGGAGAATCAGGAGACAGTGTTTTTCAGTCTTCATTCTACCCTTCTGGAATAGCCACCCCTGAGAATTCAAATGGTGCCCTCCTTGATGGTGTTTGGGAAAGCAGTTAAATAAAACTTCTTTACAGTTCATTTACATCACTGGGAAAGTAGATGCTGGGAAAGGATTCATAGATTTCAATGATTTTATGCAGTGGTTCTACTCAGTTTCACAAAGTAGTAAACCACTGGGAATCCTTATGGAGTCAGTGGTGCATAAATATTACAATAAATACTTAAATAAAATGGCTAAGAATTTTGTCATTATTGCTTGATATCCCATGAGATTGTAGTGCTCTTGCCCCAAACCTCACAAGGCACCAAGTAAGAACATCAAAATCTCATATGAGTTTTGATGTCCCACAGATATCATCTAGCTGAGACCATGTGTCTTAACGCAAGAGGAGCTGCATTCCCAGCCTCTGGCTCATATGATAGCCCTCAAAACTTTTAGTGATGTAGTGATCTGGACTAAAATTCTGCTATCCCCAGAAATCATTTTATCAGTACAGACTTCAGAAGAAGCAGCTTACCACTTCTTCCTTCACAGTTCTTTTTTTCCCTAGAGAAGGCTTTTGGTTGTATTTCTGAATTTTTGCCACAACATTAGCTTTTGTTAATCCAAGATGGGCCCTTGCCTCTTGCTTACAGTGGTACTTAAAAGTTTGTGAACCCTTTTGAATGTTCAGTATTTCTGCATAAATAGGACCTAAAACCTGATCTGCTGACAATACACACCACACACTAAAGAGAACCAAATTATACAAATGAGCTCAAAAACATACTTTTTGTATATTTATTGAAGAAAATGATCCAAAACCTCATATTTGTGTGTTCCTTAAACTGTCCCTAAATGTCTCATTTCCCTGTTTCTGCAAAGTTGGAGAAGTACTGTCACAGTCCTTTTTGACAGCTGGCAAGAGTATACCAAGGTTAAGGTCCGTCCTTTCCTTCCTTCCTTCCTTCCTTCCTTCCTTCCTTCCTTCCTTCCTTCCTTCCTTCCTTCCTTCCTTCCTTCCTTCCTTCCT